ATGTGTACCAATGAGTGCATTTATGTACGTGCACGTGTGTGTTTGTATAATTATAATATATGTCATGGTGTGAGTGTGTTCAGGTGCATATGTGTATATGCGTGGCCATGCGCGCGCGTGTGTGTGTGTGTGTGTGTGTGTGTGTGTGTGTGTGTGTGTGTGTATGTGTGTGTAGAAGGAAGTTCGTCATCTTATCTTTCGATGGACAGATTCGAATAATCTCAGTCATGTTAGGACACAGACTTTAGTAATTACTCGTACTCGTACTATAGTATGTATTCTTCTCCAGGTTTCTCAAACTCACAAATAAACCTTCAAGATGTCAGGTGAGCAAGGCAGCAAGGGAAAAGAACCACCTCAAGACCAGTCCCAGTTACAGACTAAAGTCGTCGCTCTTGCAGACAGGTGAGAGTGGGTGGTTGGCGGGTGCTCTGAATGTTGGGTGGTCGGCGGGTGCTCTGAATGTGGCGTAGTAGCGTGCTTGAGACGAGAAGCTCAGATAAGCTCGTCTGGGGCGTGCTCCTTCTTTCCTGATAAAACGTAGTAATTATATTTATCGTCTTTATCGTCCGTTCTTTTTTTCTTTTCTTTTGTTGTTGTTGCTGTTGTTGTTGTTGTTGTTGTTGTTACTCTTATGTAACACCTCGGATCTAATCGTCGGCACGTTTTTGACCCTATTGGGTTGCAAGTGCCGTAGAAAATATACAAAAACAGATAGGTAAGATGTTTAGAGCAAAATAAAGAGTGATAAGAATTGTTTCTTGATATAATACAATATATTTTAAACCACAAAAGTTCTGTATAATCGAGGGTATTACTACATCATTCGTGGTCGAGGTGGGATTTGTGAGCGCGGTTCTACACCGAAAGTGAAACGATACCGCTTTATACTCACATATTGTTTCATAGGTATAAACACAATTACATGTATCATCTGCCCATAGGGCTAATGTTTGGGCATATAGAGTTAGATCTATTGGTATCATCTTAAAGCTTGCTTACTTGTCTTGCTTTAGGTGAAACAAAATTCTCATTCGTCTTAAAAAGAAGTCGAGATATTTGTGATTGAAGGAGATGGGGCTGCCTAGATGGTATCAGGGCTCATCTCGTGTCAGAGAGGAAATGAGCAAGATAATGGCTTCCAAAGTTTGATGACTTGCAAAGCTTGAGAGTTCATGGGAACTGATAATTTACAGCTTTGCTGCCTCTCATTAATGTTTTTTGTTTTGTTGGTTGTTGTTGTTGTTTTTTTTTAATCCATAAAGACATGTGTTTTTAAATGGACAATAAAGATGTTGGACCAAGAAAAAAAAAAAGAAAAGAAATTGAATAACATTGTTTGAAAGATAGGAAAATACTGATTTCCTCAATTTCCTTTTTTTGACAAGCGCCAAATCCCACCAAGCGTTGCGACAGTAGTAAATTGTCAATGTTTTACACATGTATTGACACAATAAAATCAATGTGGAGGTGGGCTGCTTTAAATCTGACTGCAAGGGCCAATCCCAGGCAAAGTGGGACACATTATCATCCCAGCAAACAGACGGAGATACTCGAAACGACGGGGAAACACGTCCATGGGAGGTTGGCGTGTGTTTTGATGTGGTTTGCTCCTTCTTTTATATCGTCTTTTGTCCTTACTTCTCCTCCTACTTTTTAACCAAACCATTTCTCGACCTGGGAATCGAACTCATACCCTGTACAAGCCACGGCAAGAGCCTAACTATTACACTACAGACGCCGATCTGGGAAACTGTGCCTTACCTCATGTTTAGAAAACGATGATGGCGGGGCATAGAAATGTCTCTGTCATTGTAAACGACAACATCGCTACCTTTGAATTACAAAGTTCTAGGCCTGTCAGATATTTTTGACCGTTTTGAGTGACAAAGATCATGATAGAGGTCAGAAACCAAATGTTCTATAATCTATTCTATCAAAATCGTAACATTATTCCTGGTCGTTTTCAAGATATTAAAAAAACAACAACTGCATGCGAAAACGCTTGACTTGTTATGAATTTCAAATTCTTTTCGTCAACTTTCTCAAAACTAGGTAGCCTACTTCATGTATGAGCAGAAAGAGAACTTTGCAATTTTAAAGGTAGCAAAATTTCTCCATGTGAAATGAATAAAGATTGTCATTGTCATTGTCAGAGGTCAAGTGCTATGCAGGCCGTTTTTTAAAGGGGAAAGGACGGGGTGGCTGGTGGGGGGATGGGGATGGGGGGAGAGGGAGGGTCTTGTTTCTTTTCGCATCTTTTGGTAAAAGTTGACTTGAGCCCCCCTGTTGGACCTTATTTTCTCTACTATGTACATCCTGGTTCTTCACTCTTTTTGCTGCCACTTAAGTGGGTCACCATGGTGTCATGGCTGAAAGACGCTCTAACTAAGAAGAAGGGGGTGAGTGGTGGGGCTCAAGACTTTGAAGGCCTTTATTGGCATTGACTGGTCTTTCTTCAATTAAACTTTATAGGATGATTATCGTTAAAATATTAAACCTGTTGACATAAAAAAACAGCCGCAAGGAAAACCCCCCAAAACAAAACAAATACAAAAGGCAAATGTTAAAATAGGATAATTATGTAAAAGCTTTATCAAAAGTCTCGATGACTACATGTATCTCATATCTCTGCCCCGCTCCCTCTTCACCTTTCACCCACTCCCCAACTCTTCCTGCTTAACAATGTTATCCAACCCTCACACCACACCCCATCTCCACCCCCCACCCCCATACCCTTACCGCCTTACCCCACACACACCACTTCCACACTCCTTCACCCTCCTTTTCCATACCCCCTAACCTACCCCTACACTCCCAAACCTCACCCCTTTCCC